ACACTTAAGGACAGTGTTAGGGTAACAGTTAGACTCAATCTTTGAGGTCTTTTCTAACCTAAATGACTATGATTTTACCTCGTAGATATGGGTTCAAACTGTGTACTGAACAAAAGTGTACTATTTAAAAGTGAAGTTCAAGAACTGGAGAAGATGGCAGAGAACCATATAAAAATAATTCAAGAGTGGAAAAATATATTTTATTCTGAGATAACAAAAGTTCAGTCAAAAACAATACAGTAAATGACTAATTAGTGCAGAAATCTGTGTAGAGAAACAAAGGGAGCTACTCTTTCTGCAAGCAAGGCTATTTATTATTCAGTCAGGTTACCAAGCAGAGTGCAATATAATCATGACTGTGTACCTTAAGTGAAAAAAAGAAAAGTATTCTAAAGAAACATAAGTTATGGGACTCCACAGAGTGGCAGTCAGTCAAAATTTAACAGCTTACACTAAACATGATCAGATCAACCATCTGATATAAACTCCTACTGTAGTATCTTCCTCAGCAGCCACTTTGTGAGACAGCTTTTTTAGAGCTACCTAAAGGAGCTCAATTAAAGCTAATTTTAAGATTCTAACCTAAAGAGTTCAAACAAGCTGAAGAAAACTGCCCTTGCCTTGAAGAAGCTGCTTCTCATCAAAACACTCCTTTTTTTATTTCAAGACTGCTTTTTGTTTTAATACTAATAATTCTCCCTACTATATAAATTTTGTTGCATATCACCCAAAAGTAATCTTAAAATACTCATTCTGTAGATTGATTAGTTCTTGCACAGACAAAAGGGGCCCTGAATGATACAGAGTTATATTCTCACTAGGAGTCTTCCCAGACAAAGAATCACCAGAGGCAACCATGGATTTCCTAGTCTTATAGACCTGATTATTCTTAAGCTAATTATTGATTGCTGTTACTACTAAATTTCAGCTGAAGTGTTCTCAAATGTCATTATTATTAACTAAAAACATCATTATTTCTTTTACAACCAGAAGTACACAGCATCAGTTCTTCAGTCTAATACCTCTACATAAAAGGTCATATGACTCTAATAATTCAGCCTAAACATTCCTGTAAAATAAGAGCAAATCTGTAAAATAAGAGCAAATAAGGTGATGTGATGTTTTCTGCACAAACAGCAGAAACTGGCCAGCACAAATTTGTGCGGACACATTGCCCCTAGTTAAACAATTTTAATTATCTGTAAACCTTATCCAAAACTTAGTCTCTTTGGCAGCTGATACCACACGTGACTGCTCTACCACTTCTTTCTCCAAATTTGCAACTATTAATGAAGACTTAATCAACTTGCAATGCAATTCATTCCACTTGCCAGGAATGCCACAAAGTCTGAAGCTGCTTCAACAGTCACTTGAAGAGCTTTAGCAAAAGAAGCTTTTGCTGGGTTTATTAAGTGGCTGAAGTAGGTGGACCTAACTCAAAATAGATTGGTAACAACTCCAAATACTGATATATAACTTTTTTTAGCCAGTTGCCTTGTGCAGACTCTGTTTTTTTTCAGCTTTGCTTTACAGAAAGCAAACTGCAAACCTGAAACTGCTAGAAAACAAGCTCCTTCTTCCCCTGCAGCTTGGCTTCAGGTAGTTCCCCCATCCTTCAAATATTTCACTTATTGAATATATTCCCAGATTAGAGTTAATCCTTCTTGATATCTGACAGTGAAGAAAAAAGAAGACAAAACTTACAGAGAATAAAAAAGACATACCCCCACTTCAAAAATTTCTGCTCATGACAAAAATATTTATTGAAGCCAGGCGTATCCCATGTTTCACCTTATGCCCCAGAAGTGGTGACATTACCACCACTCACTGGGAATCCACCAGAGTTGAAAGGAATTTTTCATTCTTAAAAATGTTAAGAGAGGTCCAGTTCCAACAGAAAAATTTGGAATAAACTCTTGTCAATTGTGCTAAAAGCCTGTAATTGGACACAGCAAAATAATTTGCCTTCTTGTTTTCTTCATCTAGCTTCAGATACTGAAAGAAATTATTTGCACCCTGATGCAAAACCAGAACAAAACCCCAAACTTTTTAGCACTTATTTAAATATAACAAAACTAAATTACAATTCTAAATATATGTACATATATAAATATTTACAGGTGGTATATTGAAGTCTCTTTCTGCTTAGCTGTTGACTAAAAATAAACACTTGCTTTTCACCTTCTATAAAAATTTGCTATTCAACAGCTTCACTTCATTAAACAGTATATTAAAATGTAATTAAAAATGCTAATGTCAGCTTGCATTATGGCTCTGGAGGAAGCACATGCCACATACTATAAGCTACATACTGTTCCATCTTGTTGACCTTTTCTCTCTTCCATAGCTTCTAGGTATACAGATGTTCAGGAGAGAAAAGGTAACAAGTAGGGAATAAATGAAACAAGAAATCAAAAACTCCTAGCTCATGCGAGTGCAGTCACTTGCTCAGAGCTTGCTGCTGGTAAGCCAGAAAAGGCACTAAGGCACATAATTTAAGCAATGGCTTTGCAAGAAAGACAGATGCCAGAATCAGGAGATGATCAGTAGTCTGTCTTTTTTTCCCTTTCCATTCTGCACTCTCAAGGTGCTAGCTGCAAGAGTGCTTACCGGGGGGATGTAGCTCTTACAGACTTGAATAATATCAATACTTGTTATCTGGTACCATGATTACATCATTATATTACCACTTAGTGTTGTGCATTGTCAGTAAGCAATACTCGCATGGCAAGTAACCCAATTTTTTTATTTTATTATGGCCACTATGTTCTGGCTTTGCAGCTGCACAGCAGCATCCTGCCTTCAGAGCAAAGGCAGAAGGGGATGGATGGTCTTGCTCTAGGCTGGAAATTAGCTCATGCATTTTCACATTATGATTAGCATTTACCTGGTCTAAATGAT